CCCCTCGCAGTTTAGTGGGCCCGCCCCCCCCCCCCGCCCTAACCCCCATCCCAAAGTGAGGTTTGAGATTCCCACGCTAAGTGATTAGCCTTTCGCCTTGATGAAACAACCTTGCTCACCTGCGCGAAGATAGAAGCAGATTTCTTTTACGCAGAGTTGCGGCAAAATTGAAGAAGGAATGGGGCGTTGATTAATCAAGATAACCGTGTGAAAGCGCACGGTTATCTTCGCAGTGACACATCTTCCAAAGTGATGATTTGATTTGTGACCATGTCAAGACATCGAGAGAACGACAATGTCAAACTACCGTTTCGTGCGGTCTTGACTCTGCAAGCAGCTTATTGAAAACAAACGGTGCAGCAACAATATGTAGACTGGCAACATAACAGCACTCGTGTTCATCCAGTATATCCTTCATCCGATGCAGAATGACCAAGAATAGTTCTGCACTCGAGGAGTTGAAGCATTGTTAGCAATCGCACTTGTGTTCTATACGCCCTGCTGTAATATGATTGGCCGCCGCACACAGGAGGACCACATGCAGCAGCCAATCATATGCAGCTTAATAATTAAGAATAAAAATAATTAATAACGTCTCCTTGAACAATATAACCATCTGTCTTTGTCTCAAACTGGCCAACGTGGAAGACAGCAGCGGAATTCAATTGATGCGGCGTGACAAAACGGATTCATTCATTTTTAATCATTATTGTATGTTTTTAATCAAGTACAATATAGAGTGATATTTTTCCTCATTAAAAAAAAGTTTTTTTTTGGTGTTTTTGTGAAAGGAAGGCGGGAACGGATTAATGGCTTTTGCATTCATTTCAATTAGAAAAGACAATTTGTGATCTGGGTGTTTTGAGTTATGAGCGTGATCGTCAAATAAATTAAACTCGTATCTCAAAGCACGGCTATACCTAGATGGAAATTGGGCAGTTTGACTTTGTTGCCCAATTCCATGTTGTAGGCCATTTATACAAAACGGTAACATCATGAAAATCCGGGAAAAATGACAGCTTTCATGCAAAGGGGCTTTCAATTGCTTTCAACACAACAGGATGGGAGGAGTGACTTTCAGGTATAAAACTTCTCACACTCCCCAGACAATCGTAATGGACCCTTACACACAGACAGCACGCTGCATTATTATTATTTTTTTTTAGCAAATCAGACACAACCTCAGAAATCGGAAAATCATCTGGGTTGACTCGATACCCCCCCTATTCCGTGTCGGTGTTTCAAAACAGTGATGCAAAAAAAAAAAAAAAGGCGAGAAATTTTTCCGTGCGGTGTTGAAGGAGGAGCGGCTCCATTCTCCACCCAGTAATGAGTGCGGCACACCAGCAGCGTCATGTGGTCGCCAAGATTGTATTCCGCACGCTAGCAGCGTCGTGTTCCCGCTCGGGACGTTCCCAGAAGGTGGGGGGTCTACGGATTGAGCGCTGTGCCAGTCTGTGAGGGGTTCTGGGAAATAAACGCATTCCAGTCACCCCCCCACCCCCCCGAGTCCAAATGTGTGTGTGTGTGTATGTGTGTGTGCGTGCGTGTGTGTGTGTGGGTGTGTGTGTCAGCAAGCGCTGGCTAGCCTCATCTGCTAAGCACTTAGGAATGTCGCCTTGGCACTTCACCACGAACGCACCACCAAAACAAAGAAAGACGTCTAAAAAGAACCTTATTGCCATACCGCGATAGACAGCGTGCCCCCAAATTAGTCGCCTGGGGTGTCATCGACTTAAGACAAATAAACGCCTCCTTCAAATAGACTCCCCCTTTTTCCCCGCCCTCAGGGAAAAGAACCAGGCACTAAGTGTAATGACTTGAGTGCATAAAGGCGTGATTCCCAGAGATCATCATTTGCGTCGAGGGCAATAATCCGATTTCACTGAAGGGGGGGGGACCCGGAATTATTATTTATTGTCTTAGTTCATCTATCTATGCAGATGGCGTATAGTGACAGGCAGAACAACTTGACTGCTATTTCGCTAGTTGTCGGAAGTTGATCTGCTTGTCCGCTTTTTCTTTTGTGAGGAAAATATTTGCGTTGGCTTCGTAACAGTTGGGAAACACCTCACGGTTCCTGAATGGTCCACGTAATTTTTTTGATCTTTTGCTGCATTTTTCAGACCTACGGCGAATGCTTGTTTATTGCCGGGTTGACTTTTCCGACTTGCCTATGACGGTAGAATATATGCACGAAACACACGACCACAAAAAATACATTTTCAAGGCAGATCATCGTACAACAATACATTGAGGAAATACAAAGACCTTGTCCGTCTTTCACATAGTTATTGACGCATACGAGGAAACAAAAATTGTTGATTTAAACCCCCAAATGTCAAACCAAGCTCTATAAGCGAGTGGCTGCCTTTATAGCAGCTCCTATACTTTTTGATCTATTTTCTTCCTTTCATAACTTTGCTGATGTAAATTGGGAATTTCTCCATTGTGATACGAATTAAGGTTTTTTTCATTCTTATTCTTATTCTAATACTGTAGTGTCTACTAGCTTAAGGCTAACATGCGTTAAGTTCAAGGAAATTAGCATAAATATCACGGTAATTATAAACCTTCAAACAGCTGCTACTTTCACAAATTCAGACACATCCGGACTTGCCCGCATTCTGTAAAAACCATAAAACACGATCGCTTACAAATGTGTGATGTAGCAGCTGTGTGAAAGATGATACCAGCCAGCGGTATCGGCCCGATACCGGCCTCACTTTGGGTATCATGTATCATCATATACTATCATGTACTCGTGGAGGCTGTTGAAAGCCGCCACCGATACATAAGGCATTAAAAAAAAAAAATCAGACATCGAGGAAGTCCTCATCCGCAGTTGTTGGCGCTAAACTGCGGCAATCTGACACATCGGCGCATCACCATAAACTGTAGATAAGAAAGAAATGTATTTGTTCGCATTTTTGTCCGTGGATGAAAATAACTCATTCATGCACCCTGTAACCTGACAACATGATCAGCTGTCCACTGTAGTGACCGCTGTCCCTCAAAGGGTTAAATTTCATATGTCAAAAGTAGGGGCGGCATGGTGGTCAACTGGTTAGCACGTCGGTCGGCCTCACGGTACAGAGGTGCAAGGTTCGATTCCGGCTCCGGCCTCCCTGTGTGGAGTTTGCATGTTCACCATGTGCCTTCGTGGGTTTTCTCCGGGTACTCTGGTTTCCTCCCACATTCTTATATACTTTCCGTGCTTGTAAATTTATCATTCTGAAATACCTGATATTGAACGCCCCTCGTGTTTCTTTTTAATTCAGCCTCTAGTTTCACTTGACCGTTGAGAAAATAATCGAGTTTTCAAGACGCCTCTCTTGGAAATCTGCATCCCGTGGATGTGAAGGCGTGCTGCGGTGCAGGTCTGGGCTCCATTTGTGCAGTGTACTTTTAGCGTAGCTAAGCGCTACCATGTGTTCACGGCTGTTGAAGCATGTAAGCACTGTTTGCAGAGGGAGGGAGCCACGGGAGGGGAGGGGAGGGGGAGCGGGGGAGGGTCCGGCCGCAACTTTTCAGGGCTTGGCTCGGGACTATTTAAGCTGTCAAGAAGGCAGGCTGTGAGTCAGCGATGATATTGAGAAGCGGGGGTGTGGGCCGCTGATTCCGCCCCTTGTTGCAGACTTCTCTCTTCTCTTCCCAAGCCTCCCCCACCTTTCTCATCCTC